TTTTCATCGGGAATAGTATGCCAATAAGGGATGTGGATATGTATGGATGTAGTTCAGAAAATTATTCAGATCTGGTAGATCTGATGATGAGTGCAGAACTACCATGTCAATGGATACAAGTAACTGGAAATAGAGGAGCTAGTGGCATTGATGGGTTGCTCAGCTCGGCAACTGGGTTTGCTGTAGGATGCAAGAAGAGAGTAAGATTTTAACTGATTTTTGTTCCCTTTTATTCATGAAGTGAAAGAAGTATCAGAACCATTTACTCATGTTTTGTTGACCGTTTCACGAATTCAATTTCCTGATTGGTCCAACAACATATATCAGGTGGTCTGTGTGGTAGGGGACATCTCTTTCCTTCATGATACAAATGGATTGGCGATTTTGAAGCAGAGGTAGCCCTTTTTATAAAAGTCAGTTTCACTGTTGGTGTATTTTTTACACTGAACAGATATGCCATGATTTTATAGAAGTCAATTTAATTATTAATTTCTTAAGTTTAATCTGACTTGTTAGGATTGCAAGGAAGCCAATGACAATTCTTGTGATAAACAACCGTGGAGGTGGCATCTTCCGACTTCTTCCTATTGCAAAGAGAACAGAGCCTAGCGTGTTAAATCAGTATTTCTATACATCGCATGACATTTCCATTGAAAATTTGTGTTTGGCACATGGGTAAAATAACATATTAACATTCTTACTTTTTTTTTCCTTTCCCATTTTGCTATTATTTTAATTCTCTGCATCTACAAAATGTAGGTTTTGGAGAAAAGGAAAATGGATAGGATTTTTTTAGACTTTGAAGTTTTATATATTAATTTTGTTTTATATACGCAACCGTAGCACATATATTAATAGCACATACAATACACGTAAAAGTAATCCAGTATTGGTAGCTTAGATTGTCATCTAATTTGTTCACTGTATCTATTTCTTAGCTTATAGCCAAGTCAGTTCTCCATGATTTTCGATGTCCTTGATTATGAGTAAGGTCTTCATGGTTTTAGAAATAACTCGGCCAAATTTCTAATATGCAGTGTGAGGTATGTACACGTTGGGACGAAAAGTGAACTTGAGGATGCTCTTTTTGTACCCAGCTTCGAAGAAATGGATTGTATTGTGGAGGTTGAAAGCTCTATAAACGCTAACGCAATCGTCCATAGGTTATTTTGGGCTTTTGTTTTATTTATTATCGTTCATGTCCTCACTTCTCGTGAACTTTGTTGACATTGAATATTCGTTCACAGCACTTTGGAGAGGTTTGCACGCCAAGCTGCAGAAAATTCCCTGGGCATTATCTCGGCCAGTTCTCACCCGATGATAGGAAATGTACTTCTTTGCCACGTATCTGGAATACAATATTCGCAGTACAGGTAAGAATTCCTCAGAGACCATATCTGGATACTACCGTTTTCTTTTTCTTTTTGTCTAATAAAAAATCTGTTTGCAGAGTCAAACTGTGTGACAGACCTACCATATGTTCTGATGAATTCTCTCAATTCCATCGAGAAGGGTTCATACTCTCCCTGACTTTGGAGGATGGAAGTATTGGCTATGGAGAGGTTGACTACTTTATTATTATTAATTTTTCATCTCTAAATAACATTCTTTTACATTTTTGTTACTTCCCCCAGATCGCACTGCCAGATGATCAGCTTGTATTAAACTTACATGTGCCATTTATAATCATGTTCTCAGCTTGTTTTATATGAGCAGGTTGCACCTCTGGACAGTAATGTAGAGAACTTAATAGATGTTGAGGGGCAGCTTCAGTTAGTTCTTCACCTCATGAATGGAGCTAAATTTTCTTATATGCTTCCTTTGTTAAATGGCTCGATTTCTTCCTGGATTTGGAGTGAACTTGGAATTACTGTAAGCTTCCCTAGCCTTAGTTCTGTAGAGAGAAAATTCGTTTAATCCATACAGCTGCTCTTTGTCAGGAGAAATTGCAAAGTAAAAGACTATTACCGTATTACGCAAGATAGAATGCTAGATCTTCATTTTTTACAATATTTTCGTAGTCTTCTTGTTAAGAAAACAGAAAACTATCTACACACGAATATATTTTGGGAATCATATTGAAGGCTCATCAATTACCTTCTTTTTTTCAGGCATCATCGATTTTCCCAAGTGTCAGATGTGGTCTAGAAATGGCTCTTCTAAATGCAATGGCAGTAAGACATGATTCTAGTTTGTTGAGGATACTTCACAATCAGAAAGAAGAAAATGGTTCTGCTCAGCCACACTCTGTTCAAATATGTGCCCTTCTTGATTCTGAAGGTACTCCATTGGAGGTTGCATACATTGCTAGAAAACTTGTTGAAGAAGGGTTCAGTGCTATTAAACTTAAAGTAAGCCAACGTTTTTTAATCATACAAACAAGATTACTCTCAATCATCAAGTAAGAAAGCCGGATGACTATTTTATTTTATACTGGTTACTTACAACATTGTCATGCATAAATTGAGGTAGTTGGCTTTCTCACTTTGCGAACTTTCAAGCTATTGATTACTGATTGGGGGATAAACCTGCCTAAAATGACAGGTTGGTCGTCGAGTGGACTCTGTTCAAGATGCTTTAGTTATGCAAGAAGTAAGGAGAGCTGTTGGCGACCAAACTGAACTCCGTGCAGATGCAAATTGTCGCTGGACTTTTGAAGAGGCTACAAAGTTTGGTTTATTGGTGAAAAGCTGTAATTTAAAATATATTGAGGTATGGTACAGTATGAATTATTGCAATCTGATTTTGTTCTGAAGTATACTCCAAAACAACTGCTTTCTCTTACGTCTATAACTTCACTAATGAACTTTTTGTATATTGCAGGAACCCGTCCAGAATAAAGATGACCTTATAAGGTTTCATGAAGAAACTGGATTACCAGTGGCACTTGATGAGACTCTGGATGATTTTGAGGAATGTCCTCTACGTATGCTTACCAAATATGCCCATCCTGGAATAGTTGCTGTTGTAAGCCCCTGGTCATTCTTTAATCATTTACATGAGTCTGCGACTCTCAAACATATGTTATCTCTTGTCTGATAAATTTTTTCTTTGATCATTTAGTTTTTATCAATAGGATCGATAATATAGCAGCTCTGTCGTGGTAAATTATTGTTCTTTGGCTTGCATATTAAATAGTTTTGACTTTCTATCATACTTGGAATTCGTAGGTTATTAAACCAAGTGTTGTGGGAGGGTTTGAAAACGCAGCTCTGATTGCTCGGTGGGCACAGCAGCATGGAAAGATGGCTGTTATAAGTGCCGCATACGAAAGTGGTCTAGGTTTATCAGCATATATTTTATTTGCATCATATTTGGAGATGGAGAATGTCAAAGCTTCCACAGAGCAGAACCAAGGAACGACCCCTTTTGTAGCCCATGGTCTTGGAACTTACCGATGGCTTAGTGAAGACGTAATGATGAATACTTTAGGGATATTCCGTAGCTCTTACAGTGGATTTATCGAAGGATTTTCTACTGATGCTAGTAAAAATCTAAGGGATGTTAAGATAAACAATGATGTTATTGTTAGAACCAGTAAAGGCGTTCCTGTCCGGAGGTATGAACTGAGGGTGGATATAGAAGGTTTCTCTCATTTCATAAGAGTCCATGACATTGGAGATATTGCAGAAGTAAGCTTGTTCTTGTCTGTGATTTTGAATGTCCAAAGCTTAAAAGACATAAAGCTGTTCTTAGTCAATTTCTTCCTTGTTTTTCACTCTGCTGTAATGTATTTCAGGGAAGTGTAGTTTTATTTCTTCATGGGTTTCTTGGAACCGGTGAAGAATGGATCTCCATCATGAAGGGTATCTCAGGATATGCGAGATGCATTTCAGTCGATATTCCTGGTCATGGAAGGTCAAGGGTACAAAGTCATGCTAGTGAGGGTCTGGCCCCAACTTTCTCAATGGAGATGACAGCGGAGGCATTGTATAAGCTGATTGAGCAAATTACTCCTGGGAAAGTTACCATAGTTGGATATTCCATGGGAGCAAGAATAGCACTATACATGGCTTTGAGGTTTAGCAACAAGGTAGGTATTCATGGCGTGGAAATTTAACTTTTGTTTAACAATCTGTATAATGGAATTTTGATGCTGTTCTATAGATCGAAGGAGCTGTCGTGGTATCAGGGAGCCCTGGGCTCAAGGATCCAGTGGTAAGGAAAGTTCGAAGAGCAACAGATGATTCTAAAGCAAGACTGATGGTTGAACATGGACTAGAAATCTTTCTGAAGAGCTGGTACAGTGGAGGCTTGTGGAAAAGGTGACTTTCTTAATTGATGTTTTTGTTCCCCGGACTTAATTTGGTTACTTACTTGAGCGACTTTTGCAATGACTAGCTTGAGAAGGCACCCCCATTTTAGAAAAATAGTTGCAAGCCGCTTGCTACATGATGATGTCATTAGCGTTGCAAAGCTCCTCTCGGATCTAAGCAGTGGGAGACAACCGTAAGTTCATCATTGCAACTTTGCTCCATAGTTTGATTCAACAGCTATGATCTTTGATAACGATGATGACATTCTGTCCTTTGAAAAATAGGTCGTTGTGGGATGAGTTGAAGGATTGTGATACAAATATCTCTCTTGTCTTTGGAGAGAATGATGTCAAATTCAAACAAATTGCTACAAAAATGTACCGCGAGATGAGTAAAAGCAAGAAGAGAGAAAACAATATCATCGAGATGGTTGAAATCCCAGAAGCTGGTCACGCTGTCCATCTCGAGAACCCTCTCCGCGTGATTCTTGCCCTTAGAAAATTCCTTACAAGAGTGCACAAAAGTTATACAGAGACAGAGCTTTCTGAGAAGCTCCTATTAGCACTAGAAGAAATGTAAATCAGATTTTGATCATATGATTGGACCTGTTTCAGATTCCAATTGTATTGAATACTAGCTTCAGAGATATGTTTTGAAGATCAATAAAATTGGTTAAAACAGTATTTTACTTGACAGTATATCCCTTTCTCCTGTGTGTGTCTTACAGTTAGAGTTATGGTGGTATCATATCTACTAAACCTCAATAACAGGTACATGTGCAACCAAAATCACACCTACAGACACAGGTTCCAAGCTGGCATTGCGGAGGACAGAACTTGTTACAGTCACTATCTATATTGCAAGGCCGGTCGTAATCCGTTAAAGGTACCTGTGCTATTGTCTGCAAGCAGTTACAGTTCTTCTTTCCTTCAGGACATTTGCCGTTGATGCAATTCGCTTCTTCCTCCACTATCTCTCTGGTGTCACCCAAAGACGAACCTTGATCAAAAATAATCGCCACAAACTTCAATATATACAAGACCAAAAGCAAAAATTATACAACAAAGAAGAAGCTTACAAAATGCTATGACTGTGAGGGAGACCAAGAAGACAAGCTTGAGAGACGTTTGCTCCATTGCTAACTGCAATCTCAAAAAACTTTGCTTGTTTATTTTGATTGCGCAAGTGATGAAGAGAGAAGTCAGATTGTCTTATTTAATACCAGAAAAGTTTACGCAGGTACACATTGTTTGAATCACAACTATGTGAGGTCTCTCCATTATAGGAAATAACTTTTTTTTTTTTTTTTTTTGTAGAGGGAGATAACTTTATTATTTCAGTTTTATGGAGTGATGCAGAGATATATTATTAAGGAGAAATTAAAAAAATTATATGTATTTAAAATCTATTGTTTCTCTCTGTCATATAAGTAGAAATTATGGTTGTTTCCAATGCCTTTTAACACTCACAGAAACATGTTCCAAAATTACAGTTCACAATCTTGCAGCCCTTAGGACAGTACTTGATGCAATCCTTATCTCGGCGGCAAGAAACTTTGGTCTCATAGCTGTCCATTGGAGGTGCTACAAGAGGTAAGCAGTCACAGTGTATCTGTCCTTTAGGACATTTGCCGCCGATACAATCCACTGCCATCTCTCTCGCGTCACCCATAGACAAACCTTACACAAACACACACAAGAAAAACGTCAAAACAAAACCAAAGAAAAAAAATCATATAACAAAAAAGAAGTCATCATAGAAGGAAAGATTACAAAATGCTATGACTGTGAGGGACAACAGGAAGACTAGCTTGAGAGACCTTTTCTCCATTGCAAATTGTAACCTCAAAATCTTTTCAGTGTTTCTTTTTTGTTGTAGAAGTGATGAAGAGAGAATTCAGATTACCTTCTTATATAGTATGAAGTTAAGTGGCAATAAATCTTTTGTGTGAAGGTTTGACCAAGTTTTGTCATATTCTATTTGTGTGATCTCTCCATTTTAGGAAATCACTTTATAATTTGGAGACCAAAACTGGAAATACATTGCTTGTAATAGATACAAGATAAATGAGTATTTACAACATAATGTACAACTGACGAATACAATGGGCTAAGAGATTTCCACTGAATATATTTTTCCTCAATAAGCCACAGCAAAGAATGAACACAACAGCACAAAAAGTAAGACCAAAGCTGGTATGGGTTCCAAGTTTCTTGTTCTCTTCATGACCGTGCTAAACACAGAATGGTTCTCTCGTTCTTTCTTTGTTCTCTCATCCTCCTGTTCAAAGATAGCAAAGACCACATTATATATTATTAACAAGAGAGGTTCTGGTTTTCATATCTATCTATGATCTATATTTTGGTTTGTCTATCATTTTTCAGAAGCAACAAAGCTATAGTCTTGCAATGATTATCGCAATTTTCTTATGAAAAAATAAACTGAATACCTGCCTGCAGGCTTTCAGCAAGTGCCTCTATTCCATGACCATCTGCGCTAAACAGCGGCTCTTTGTCCCCAGCATAAGATCCTCTCTTTTGGTATGTAGTTGTGCATTGATTCACTCTGAGTATTTTGTTTTCCTTTGCCAAAGAATATAGCTGTGGAAAAGAAAAAACACAATAATGTTTCAGCAATGCTTTGCTTTTGTGTCCCTAAGGAAAATAATTATGCGCATAGCCTAAAGTACCTGCTCTTGTATACGCTCCCTTTCACTGGATAATTGCAACAGCATATCCATCAAAACCTTGTTCCTTGTAGTTATTTCTTGTGCATATCTCTCTTTTTCATCGTTAGCTCGATCTAACATTGCTTCTAAGGATTTGGCATTTTGCCTCAAAAAGGTCACATCTTTGTTGAGTTCAAAGTTTGTGGTAGAAAGCACAATGCATTGCTCCTCCACTATCTCCGTTCTACTCTCGGCTTTTGAGGCTTTAGACTTTAGATCTTCGATTAAGGTTTCCATGTCCCATATTGCTGAATACAACATGTTCTGCTGTTCTTGACTTGCTTCTGATGATACTTTGGAATTTTGTAATTGAACTTCTGATTCCCTGACTTGCTTCTCGAGAGAGTTCACCTTCTTTGTTTTTTTATCATCAGCATCTTTGAGAAAATTTAGTTCCTCGGTAAGTTCAAGATTTGCAGCAGTTAGCTCTTTAATCTTACTTTCTCCACTCTCAGCTCTGCTTTCAGCCTCGAAAAGGCTTTCTTTGACTGACTCATTTGCGTTTTCCATTTCAGCAAGGTGTACCAGAATTTCTTGTTTAGAAGCATTGGCACTTTTCAGCTCAAGCTCGGTTTTCTTCAGCTTTTGTTCAGCTGACTTCACATGTTCTCTCAAAGTGAGCACTTCTGAAACTATCTCACTATTTTCTGCAATTCTTTCCTCAAGCCTTTTCACCATAAGATCTTTCGCTTCGAGTTGTTCAGTGCAATCTTCAAGCTTAGCCGTAAGTTCGGATTCCCGTTGGGATGACCCATTCAGACTAAACTGGAGAATCTGTAGACGACCAACAAGTTCCTTTGAAATACCCGTAAGCACCTCCGACGAATTATCTGCCTCTAGAAACCGTCCCCATATAAACTCTGATGCTTCTTCCATCCGAGAAGATACCTCCTCTGTGTAGTGTAGCTTGAGTTTCAGTTGTTCTTCATTTTGTTGAAATTCCATTAACTTCTTCTCAAGCTCTAGCTCTCTTGACAATGACTTCTCCAGCATCCTCAAAGCATTTTTATGCCTTAAGTCCGATGGTCTCAGCGCATATTTCTGCCTTAAATCTTGACCTGAAAGCTCCACTGACTCCTCGTTTTCACCTGCCAACATGTTTGTCAATACTAGTCAGAAGCTAAGTAATCCAAAGCACCAATAACTTTAAACTAACCATATATCAAAAGTGATTACTTGTTCCATTTCTTATGTAGTGAAGTGTTCTTCGGAACTGAGCTAATTGCAAAGTGATCTCTGAGACTTGTCCCCTAGACTGCTTCAAGGATTCTGCAGATTCAGCCAACTTGCCTTCGATAACAATAGAATTTGCATGTTTGCAGCTAGATATCTTATAAGAAGTGTCAACAATTTGAGCTTCCAACACATCCAAAACCTCGTCCACTTCCTTTAACTCCGACTCCAATATACCGCATAACAGATCAAATGTCAAGGCCTTTTCAAAAGAGGCAGCAGAAGAATCAGGTGTCCCCATCCCTTCAAGATCATTATCCCAAGCCAAAAGATGCATAAGAAGAACATGCAGGTTCAGCAGCTTTTCACAAGTGTAAGCCGAGTCTATCTCTAGTTTTGTCAACATCCTCAACATCTCTTGCTCCTCCTCACTCCTACTAGCCAAAGCTTCACCATGCTCCTCCTGAATAATCTCCTCCATTCTAGGCCTAAAAATCAAAACTTCAAAGCTTAGCTAGGAACAAGGAATGAACTAATCCAAAAAAATGGAAATCAAAACAATTACATTGTAAGTTCGTGATTATGAATGTGTAGGAAAATGGATACTTAGGTAAAGGCACTATCTTTCAAACCGAGTTATCGCCTACTGAAATGAATAAAAAGGAGACCATGCTCATCTCCTAGTTCTCAATTAAGACATCCTCTTGCCAGAGGATTAAAAAAACTTTTCTCCTATCAATCAAGTTAAGACCCTCTCTCTCACACACACAAAGCCACACTACCATTGCCTCGAGTTACAATTCTAGCACTAGTCTTCTATATGAAACCAAATTGTTGATCAACTAAAACCAGAACATCCAAGCAAATAATTTGAAAATGTTATCTCAGTACTCCTTCACAGAAACACATTATAGTATCTGTAACCAAATCAATTTGCTTACTGTTGTCATATTCTCACAATTGCTATGAACTCAACTTGAGAAGTAAAGTATCTTTGATTACATCCACTTGTCAAGAAAGACCAATAAGCCAAGTCAGTACATACTTGTAAAAGACTCAGCATTTCAAAGAGATCCACCAAAAAATATTACTAATTTAGCAATTTACCACAGCAAGATTCAAACTTTACCACGAAAGCAGAACAGAAAGATCAAAATTCAACAAGCCAAACAAAAAATGGTCGAGCCCGTTTTACTTGGAGACAGACAAAACAGAGAGGTTCAAGATCAAACAGGATCTGAAAAATATCAAAACCCTTACCGATCAAAATCTGTAAATACGAGAGTAGATGAGTGAACAGATTAGCCTCAGACAAAACAGAGAGAGAGCCTTTACTTCGTCAACGAACTTCAATTTGTTTTGCCTTACAAGTGGTACGGTGTTCTCTGGCTTCAGGAAATTAATGCTAAAATGCGCGGATGTTGTTTACAAGTCAGCCAACGATTAAGAAAACGCGCGTACGTTAGTGCTGCTTGCGTACGTTAGCGGGAGTGCTATGTTGTGGTGGACGTTGAATTATTGGTAAGGACTAAGGACAAGGAGAAGAAGACTGCTTAATAATAATAAGCTGCTCTCTTATTGGTTACAGCTAAAAAGGCCTTTACAAAATTGACAACTTTTGTTGTTTCCTCTCTCGTGATTACTGTAATAACACACCTTGAGATCTCATATAGTAGTTAGACAATTAATGTAAATATTTCAAAACTTGTTTGAAAACAAAAAATTGATTTTGCATATTTTTTGTGTTTAACGTGTAGATAATATCACGATACACTTACATTTAAGATTAGGATTTTTAATAAATAGTCATATTAATTAAGTATATACAAATTCAAAAGAAAAACATTTAATTTAGTATAATTTATTATTGAATGGTTTCTACCAAAAAAAATTATTATTGAATGGTATGTGTGTACGTAATGATAAACATGTATATAATCTAATTCAATTATGCGGCGGGTGATTAGCTATGAGGAATTTATGTATGTAATTGTGATTAAATTGTTCGTTGTGCATATGGTACTTCAGACCAAAGTAATTGTGAATGTGTAGATCAGTAAAGGAGATGTTAAATTGGATTAGTTTACATGATGTGACTACTTTGTTTATGATGGGTTTGATTTGTGTATGGTGAGGCGAAATCAATTAGAATTGAATGATCGTCTTTACTCTGTATGGGCGTGACTATGTATGGGAATGTTACGAGAGACTAATTATATTTGGGCTCGTTGATGGGCGTTACTATGTATGGGAATCGTGAACGTATAGAGACTTTACTAGATGTGATTCTTAATGTGAGTTACAAATGGAACATATGTATAAGATTTATAAATGGGGAAATGGAACTTATGTATAAGATTTATACATGGGGACATAGTGTTTGAATTTGATCGTCGTTGTACATAAAATGTATTACTAGTGTTACTTCTTTTTCATTTTTGTCATCTCATCTCATATAATATAAACTAGTGTTGCTAAGCTGATAAAAATTACAATTTTCTTGTCGTCAAACACAATTTTTTTAATATACGAAATGCAAATATATTTCATATGCTTAAAAGTCCAAAATAATATATTTAACTAAGTTGAAATGGGAAGATTAGTAATTTACACATGTGGTGATGATATGTGGTTTATTTAGTAAAATCAACTCAACTCACTTCAAAACATTTCTAACTTTTATTAAACTTGGCATAGTTGTTTAGATATTAAGTTAAGTCATTAGTATTTCTAGCAAAAAAAAACTTTAAGATCAACTCGCACATTTTAAAATTTTATATACAAGTATTTTTGATTTGGTTCTGGATATCTAAAATATTATACATGTGACTTTATAAATAATTTTAAAATAAAAAGTTTTTAGATATTCATTCTGTTTCACTTCGATATCTAGTTGAAGTTCTTTTGTAATTATTACTACATTGATTTTGGTTTGATACGATACTTTTTATTTGGATTTTTTTG